ACTGCCTCCAAACCACGCCCCTAGCCCGCCTCCATTGCCACGCCTCTAGCCTGGTACTTCCGCAATAAAGTGGATCTGCGCCAACAGCCTGGTCTCCGGTCCTCCTTGTTCACCGTCGCTGCTTACCACGGGCCCAGGTCCCTCGACCCAAGAGGGTCTACCTCACCCTTGTCCAGAGTAGGACAATGATCTTCCAGTAGGAATGATCTTCTGTTTCTCTGCTTAAAACAGAAAATGTTTGACCTGGCCATCAAATTTCTAGACTACAGAACTATACAACGTGGACCTTCTCTCACACTCATTGCTGTGTATGTCTCAGCCTCCCAAGTGCTGGGGTTACAGGGGTGCACCACTGTGTAAGGCTTTCCTTACTCTCAGTTATTGACAGTAAGGCCTAATATTCATCCTAAAATTCAAATATTTGTCAATTACTACATCAGATGGAAATGTGGTGCATAAATAAAAATTATTTTCTAGGTGTGTCATATATATTGCCTGAAAGACGCATATACTCATCTATGGAAAGTCCTTAAGACAAGGTAATAAAGTAACAGAACCAGGTATGAGGTACTTACTGTACTGCTTTTTTTTTTGTGACAGCAGAAATAGAGGTAAACAAGAGTAAAAAAAGCAATGATATAATAAAAATAAAATGTATAAAGTAAGTAGTATGAACGGAGAACAAAGGCTGAAGAAACATAATATTTTGTGATGTACCTTGAAGCCAGTCCACACCTTCTTGTAATCCTTCTCCTTTTATGGCATCACTAGCACTGAAATACAATCCATAAGAAACCAATTCATCTCATTATATCCAACTGTATGAACAAACAATTACAGTTTTGTCATATGAAAAATTAATACATTTTAGTAACATATACTTGAGCAAAACTGGTTAAACTTTGAAACTGAGTGTTTTCATAGTATGTATAGACATTTAAAAAAGTGTATCACTAAAATTATTATTCTGGAATAGTAATTAGTATATACTAATAATACACATATTTTGCATTATTTTTCTAGCATTGGAAAAGTCTTACAAGGCCTTGGGCTTCAACCCTCTACACTTGAGAGAGAGCAAGCAAGCAAAGAAAAACAGAGAAGGAGGAAGAAGAGGAGAGAAGGCAGACAGAAACATAAGAGGAAGAGATGAAAAGAAAGGAAGAGAAAAAGAAGGAAAGAAAGAAAGAAAGAAAGAAAAGAAGGGTTTGATTTATTGATTTAGGTTATGACATAGTCATAGAATGAAGTGATTTCGGGGCTGGGGATTTAGCTCAGCAGCACAGTGCCTGCCTGGCAAGCGCAAGGTTGTGAGTTTGATTCCCGGTACCGGAAGAAAAAAATGAAAAAAACAAACAAACAAACAAAAATAGAGAATGAAGTACTTATTTGAAGTAGAATTTTGCACCTATAGAGTATAATCCCATAATTATAACTTGGGTAAGCTCATAGAATTAAATGAGAACCCAGTAGATTTCAAATATAGTTATATTAATTATTATATTTATTACAGGTACTTGGGTAGTTATTCAGCTTTTTTGTCTTGGTTATTGTGAGGAGTAGGTATTGAAGGTATGCATATAATACACTCAAACCAGAATACTTTTATTGCTTTTCAGTGTTAAGAAAGTAAACAAATATTTATTGTTATACTTTACATATACTTGTAACTAAGTTACATAAACTAAAATAACAATGCAGAATACTTTTAGAGTATCATATAATCCTTCTGAAAAATACAGACTAACACTTTCTCATAACATGCCATTGATCTGATCATTTCCTTGCAACATATGATTGTTTAAAAGTAATTACTATACAATTAGTTTTCTTGAATGATTAGGTTCCTCTTAGTGTCTAAGCATCATGTAAAACATTACAATATAGTACCTAAAAGAATCAATCTGATTCTAATCGAAAGGAATTACTTCCAAGGAATTATTTCTTAGACTATAAATATGGCTTACCATGCAATTATTTTAAAATAAGACAGAAATAAACAGCATTAAATATACAATTATTCAAAGCAAATTACTGATTACATATAGCAATAGAGAAATATCAATAACTCTACTTATATAAAGAAAGGCCAAGATACTGACTTTATCATATACACACAGTCCCAAACAATGTGATGAAGAAATCCTTTCCTATTGATGGAAGAATCACTAGTCTAAAAACCTTGCATCTTTTCCTAACATGTTCCAAATGTTTGAAGTCTATCTTTCTTTTTTTCTCTCAAATTAAAAAAAAAAAAAAAACCCTTATAACTAGAGCAAAAGCCAAAGCCTTTATCCTGTCCTATAATGCTCTGTTCTATAGCTCCTAGTTGTTCCTCAGTGGCTTTATCTGCTATTTCTCCTTAGATAGCTCTGTTCCAGCCAGCCTGGGCTTCCTGCAGTTCCTGAAACATGACCAGGTACATTCTCATCCAAAAAAGTGTTTTCTTGCTGTCCTCTGTCCTCTCAATCTGGACAGCTGTTTCTCTAAACCTTCACATTAAGTGCTCCTTGACTTCAATTAGGTCTCACAGTGGAAGCATCTCTCAATATTCTTTCTCTTATCCTATTTATTTTTCTTTATCCTCCTAGCTAACATTTTATACATTTATTTACTTATTATCTGTCTCTCCAACACACACACACTCCATACCAGGGATTAAGTGCAGGAACACACAGGAAGAATAACACAATTAGGCCCTAAAAATCAGAGTTAACTATATGTTTAACACAGTGGGTTGAAAGAAACCACAAAAGTTTTCCTTTAATTTTAGACAAATCTTCCCTCTGACCTTTTCCTAGTATCCATAACCTTAAGCTGAGTGTAAGACACAATCAGTATTTTACCTCTGTGTCACTGAGCATTGCCTTTATACGTAAAACTAGAAAACAAGGATAGACATATTTCCAAATTTATACATGTTTTTAAAAATTGCAAAAATAATAAAGCTAATACGTGACATACTAATTTGAATTTAGAAAAGAGATATCCAATTTGAAGTAAGGAGAAACCAAAATTCCAGAAAAATTTCAAAGAAATTCTTGGCATTCTTTGATAAGTTGTACAGAAAATAGCATTACATTTCATATGTCCTATTAGTATCATTATATTACTTTTTCTCTAGCAAAGAAATATTTAGATATCATAACTGAGTAAACTTTTTAAAACTCAAGTGTTAATAATTTTAAATAAAAAAGGGTTTTTTTCTGAGGGGTAGGGCAGACGGAAAGAGAGACAAGTAGAATGACAATATGCCACATACAGGAACGTGGTCTCAATGGATATAAGCATTACATGCAATAAAAATAAGCTAAGATTATATTAACAAGAATGAAAACAGGAAAAGGGAAATTAAATGAGAGAGGAAGGGGGAGGGAAGGGTATTAGAAAAAACAAGCTTTATTACGTATATGTACTCTTTCCCCAAGATGAGTGCAAACTGCATACACTGTAAACATGTACCAGTAAAAAATTTTAAAGGGTCTTTTCTTAATTAAATCCACATTTTTGAATGTTGTACTTTCTATCAAAGGAGCTGCAATACTTAGTACAATGTAAAAATTATTTTACTTTACAGATAATTTAGTTGTGATTTAGGGAGATACAGTACAAAAGTTCTATGTCAACATGTTTCTGTATTCAAAATCCTATTTTTCTTTGCCAACCAAATACCACGAGACCTCAACGTCCAATTCAATAATCATTTTTAAACACTGACTTTTCCTCTGATTGCAAAATAAGGAAGGCTTTACTCAGGATACACAGTACTTCATACCTAGACGGAGGTGGTGGAGGCCTTCCTACCAGGAAGTTTCAAGCATTTCCTTAAGCTCTACTCTATTATTACTTTCAGAACTCACGCTAGTGCATAAAGTTCTTTAGTGAGCTTTACTATCTTCCGGCTTTATATTCTATTTCTCCTTGTAGAGGCAGTGGATTTCTCTGCTTCTGTGTCCAACCTTTTCCCTCAGTTACTGTAATTTTTATGGAAAGGGAAAACTTCTGATTAGATGATATTTTGCAGCAAGGAGAGGTAGGAGGGTGGTAGGCAGAAGGGACCTTACTAACATATGCTAGGTACTGAAACACTAATATATAATCTATAGTTATCATTGTTGATACATTTTGGTAAAAAGAAATGCTAGAGTTAAATACATTAGTAAGAAACTTTTCCAAATAAATAATGATTGGTAATTTCAAACAATAAGATTTCAACCTTATTAGTAAGATGAAATAAAATCAACACTTTATTTATTACTTTAGCAAATAATTATTATGTACTTATTATGTTCCAGGTGCTATCACTATTGCAGGGGTTATACAGGTGAAAAAAAAATACTGCCCAAATTCCACTTCTCAAGGAATTAACACTTTACTACAGGAAGATGAGACTATAAATCAAGCAAGGAAGCAATCAAACAAACAAAAACAAGTCATGTGGCAACAGTGGCTGTCCTTAAGGAAGTACTACAACAAGCCAGAAAATTATTTTGAAGAATGATTCAGACAAAGGGAAAGGTATGTGCAAATACCCTACAATGGGACTGTGCTTGGCTGATTCCATGTGTCAAAGGAAATCAGTATAATTGAAACTCTATGAATATGTAGGTTGTTTATTCTATTATAAGAGTTCACATTTTTCTATCCCCCAAAGGATTAAAACGATTTTAAACAGTAATCTATTTAGGGATAACTGCAATGCCACAATTCTATAAAACAAAATGAGGGCAGGAGAAAAACTAAACACCAAAAAACAAACCCCAAAGTTTAGAGAATTTTCAGGAAGACAAAATGGAAAGCAAAGATAAAACTTTACCAAATATGCCATGGTTTATCTTTGATATTCTCTAAGCACAGCAACTGAGACACTTTTACAGATGTCACTGCATCTCTAAGGTCCATTTTGTTTGCAAAGAATAAGATTGGAATTCGACGATGTTTAATATCTGAAAAAGAAAATAAGACTATCATCATGCTTCCAACTTTTTGGGTCACTCTGCCCCAAATACTTAAAATTGAAATAAAATAAATCGTTTCACAATTAATTCTTTCTTTCACATAAAAAATTTAAAGACACATACTGTCAAGCATGTATTTGAGAAATAAGAAAAATACTTTTTCTTAAAGTCATCTGTGCTCTAGTTCAGAGGTTTAAGCAAAAGATGTATGAGGTTAGAGAAGGAGGCTTGATAAATAGTTACAGAGAAGCACTCACACAAAAGGTCAAGCACCTTATGTGTTTTGTTTTTAATGTGAACACATTTTTGACACTTTGAAAGGTCCAAGAAGGTCAAGTTAGTCAGATCTGTGATGATACCTGAAAGGGTGTTGTCCTTGAAAGAATTGCCAGCCATTTTCAAGACTTGGAAACTGAGCAAACCACTAAAGATGCCATGGAAGGCAACCTGGGTGTGAGTACAGGACATGTCAAGACAAAGAAGCCGGGTGTGGTGGCACACACCTGTAATCCCAGCACTCGGGAGGCTGAGGCAGGAGGATTGTTGAGAGTTCGAGACCAGCCTGGGCTACAAAGTGAACTCAAGGCCAGCCAGAACTGCATAGCGAGACCCTGTCTCAAAATGACCCCCCAAAAAAAGGATAAAGGAGTTTGCTGAGTGATAAGAATACTGAAAATTCACTTGACTGTTTCAAAGTAGAATGCTGAAAATCCAGATGTTCTAGTAGTTCTAAACCTATGAAGTTTACACTCATGGTTATAACATCATTGAAGTTTAGATGGAAATACTTCAGACTGGTTGTTCCCAAAACACTCTCAGAACAACTCTTGAAAGTCATGCCATTTCTACTGAGGTCTAGAACTCAAAGGCTTTTAAGTTCAAACTCTGCAAAACTAGTCGCACCTCTGCTGGCAGTCAAAATACACCTTTTGAGAGAAGGGAGCGCCAGTGTGGGAAACTGACTAACTGTACTCTTTAGCAACTTTAAAGACTGCCACTTTAAGTCTTCAGGAAACATCAAAGGAGAAGTGTAAGGAAGAGAAACTGGATTCTGATTTTAGTTTTTAGTCACAGATCTAAAAATAAAAGAAGGTAAATAAAATAAAAAGGTAAACATATTAACAAAATATTTTTGCCCTTAATGATTTTTTTGAAGATAGTATACCCAACTAGTTCAAAATTCAGAAGACACAAAATTGTACATATCTAAAGAATCTCCTTTCTACCTTTCTTTGTCATTGGCTAATTGACCTCCATAGAAAAGGCAATCCATTATCATCCATGTCTTCACATGATTGTAAACATATACATTTCTAGATATAACTATTATACTATGTCACTATTCACACAAACAGTATGCCAATCTCATTATTTTATGTCTACCCTTTTCACTTAATTCATATCTTATGTTCCATATTAGTACATACAGAATACATGGACAAGGCTTTATTGATTGATTGATTGATTGATTGATTGTCATTTTGAGGCAGGGTCTCACTATGCAGTTCAGGCTGGCCTTGAGCTCACTTTGTAGCTCAGGCTGGCCTCCAACTTGCAACGATCCTCGTGCCTCAGCCTCCTGAGTGCTGGGATTACAGGCGTGCATCACCACGTCCAGCATAGACAAGGCTTTATTAAAAAAATCAAGGTTCCCACTGTACTTCAAGTGGAACTGCTAGAAACTATTTCACTGTATTGGGCAACATTCAAACATTTTATGAGAAAGTGGTAAAATCAATTAAAAAAATGCATGCTCAAAAATACATTCTCACCCCAGACCTAAGACTGATAAATTTTTAAATGAGAAGGTCACACAAAAGGTACAGGCCACACAATTGTTTTTGAAAATTTGAGTAAACTCAGGATTAGATAAAAACACCAAAAATATATACAGTTAAGCAGCCTGAATTATCAGCTCCACACTAAATTCTATTCCATTTTTAACAAAGCCATAGTTCTTTTCAAGTATCATACTTTTCCAAAAGTCTTAGCACAAAGAGTACTTAAAATCTTTCTGCCGTGACTAAAGCTATAAGTGAACAGTTCCTCAATACTCACTGCAGCACAGGTTACGGTGGGGGTGGGGAGAGGGAGAACAGCCACCAACTGAACAGTATATGCACACAGGACAGAGTATAAAGGGGCAGTAAGAAGAATGGTTACATAATTACGTGTGATTTGACCTGAAAGTACTTCATCACATAGTACTGAGAATTGGGAGATGCAGAACAGTGTAAAAAGTACGCTCATATTTTGATATATAATGATAGAACCCTATCCCTCAGCCCAATAGTTACATTTATGAACTGTCTATGTTGATTTGTATGTGTATGTAATGGCTTATTTAGAAATATGAAATAAAAAAATCCCAACTTGTTAAAACTAGTATGCTGAAAAATACTGACAGCTGACAGTTGGAGATTAAAAACAAAAAGATCTGTTTTAAAAGAATTTCTAAAATGAACATATAAGAAATGCTGTGATAAACACACACATACACAGTTAGATACACATGGAAAAGCACATGAAATGACAGGGACCACAGTAATTTTAACAGGTCTTGAAATATACAGACTTTTGCCACATTTCTTAATTTTCTGTCTGAATTTTTTTCTCCTATTGGCATACATTATTCATATAAACAGGAGAAAAGGATGTTTTAATTTTTGAGGAAATAAATCTTAGAGACCAAAAACTGCACAAGTCTTTGATATTTAAAAATATGGTAATATAGGTAAGCTATTCATTATAAATTTTGCGTAACTAGTAAGTTTTAAAATTCAAAAATTTTAAATAAGAGAAAGTTCTAGAGCATAAACAACACTTTTTATCGATACCTAAGAGAAAATGTCTCATATAAAAATTTCCCAAGGCAGATATCATAGCCTGAAAGATACCACATACATACCTGGATGATTTAGAAGAGTATCAAGTTCTTCTTTAGCCACAACCATTCTTAATTTATCACTACTATCAATGACAAAAATAATGGCTTGTCCATCTCTGTATAATACAAAAAGAAAAATTAAAGTTACACTTAATATTTTTCCATATTTATTATCCATCTGTATTTCCTAATTTAGGTACTATCTTTTCCTGTCTTTTGTCCACTTAGAAGTTCTAGTGTTCTTACCAGTTTATGTGGCTAAGTTATATGTTAACAATTACATATTATGTAAATTCTTTTTATTTCTCATAATTTCATATTTTTAAGATTGTAAGTTTTCTGTTTAAGCAATTATAATATAAAAATAGTTAAAAGAATAACCTTCTTACATAAACATAATCATCATTCATATTTTTGTATAAATTGTTACTTTTGGGCTGGGGATTTAGCTCAGCGGCAAAGCGCCTGCCTGGCAAGCGCAAGGTCATGAGTTCGGTTCCCGGTACCGGAGAAAAACCAAAAAAAAAAAAAAAAAAAAAAAAAATTGTTACTTTTCTTTTTTTTTTATTTTAGAAATAAAAGGAGGAAAATACTAACAGATCGACAACGTTTTACAAAATAGCAAAGGATCAGTACAGACATTACAGAGTTACAAACAGAGTGGTAGGGAATTAACAATGCTTATTGTATTACATATTGATATATTCAATGTAGTTTCTCATGAAAACACATATAGACATACAAAGCTAATCAACCAATGCCTCACTGACAGTTTCTTTCAGCAAGGAAATACAGGACAGTAGAACACCTGTGTTAACTATCCTGCATATACATATATACAAACTTTCTCCTTCTTTCCCTTCTCTTTTCCCATATTCCAGTTATCCTTTACCTATGAGTGCTTTCCTATCAATTCCCAAGGTCTGTCATGTCTCCTATTACTTTTCTTTATATACATTCCCAGACAAATATCTACACCTGTATTTAAAATAGACTCCTATGGCTGAGGATGTAGCTCAATGGCAGAGTTCTTGCCTAGCATGCACAAGGCCCTGAGTTCAATCCTCAGAACCACATAAAAAAAAGAAAATAAAAAGAAAATGTAATCCTGTTGCTTTATACTTTGACTTTCTGATATAAATTTCCTTGATATTTTTACAGTATGGCCTGTATTATTTTTATATGAAACACTGAAGGTAAACAACAGTACTTCTCCAATATTTTACCATAAGCCATAGTGAAAAACACATTTTACAAAGATATTGCAGACATACAAGTATATACTATTTGAGAAAAACATCTGAAGCAACCCTTATAAGTAGTTTTTATTTTTACCCTGTTTCACTCTGTAAAGGTAAAAGCCAGGCACTGAACTCTTCGTTCTTCAGGATTACGGATTAACTGAAGTCCTTGCACATGCAGGGGATATATTTTAGCATATTGTCTTGCTTTGTATTTCATTAATTGCTAGTGATGTCAATATCTTTCATATATTTACTGGATGTCTATGCTTCCTTGTGACTCATTTATCCCAATCATAAGATCCTAAAGTTCTATTTCAGCAATTAAATGAATGAAAACAAACTCTTTAAATACCATTTTCACTTATCATTTAACAGAATATAATTTAGATTAACAACCATATATTACTAGTAGATACACAAACTATAAAATTGGAAACATATAAAGAACGTTAAAAATGTTCAATTACTATGATCAAATGATTTTTGTTTCTGGAATTATTCTACAGAAACTTGAACTATGGCTAAGATTTACACAAAATGCTAACTGGAGAATTATTATTATAATCTTCAAAAACTCAGAATAATCATTTGCAAAAGTAGAATGATTAAGCAAAGTCTGGCAAAGCTGTGTAAAAAAAATCAGGCAATCATGAGAGTTACATTCATTCCATGTTTTTCCTGATTTACCCATATCATAGGAAGTTAACTTAAAGAAAGTAGGATAAAAAATATACATAGTACATAATTTAGATGGCTCCTTTCTCTGTACTTATACAAAGTCCATGTAAATGTTTCAAAAAGATGAACCATACCCCCCAAAATAACAATGGTAAATTTATGAGTAATGGTATTTATGGGAAACAATATTTTAATATTATTTTCTAAACTTTATAAACAGTTTATTAGGGGCTGGGGATACAGCTCAGTGGCAGAGCATCTGCCTGGCAAGCGCAAGGTCCTGAGTTCGACTCCTGGTACCAAAAAAACCCCAAAAAACAAAAAACAAAAACAGTGTACTCCTTTTAGTTTGTACTTACTTTTTACAGTGGGAAAATGGTGTACAGAAATTATATAATTAACATTAAAGAATTATATAAGTTTGAAAGTAAATTTCCCTTATAATTCTACTATTCCAAAACAAAAATGCTATTAATAGCTTGGTGCATATCTCACGAGCAGTTTCTTCTTTCTATATATCCTAACAGCTTATCTATACTAGGGATGAAGTGACATAATGAGACTTGAAAAATATTATTCCAAACGGTGCTAACAGACAGTCCTCTATGTATAGCTTTGCCCTGTGTCCTAATCACAGTACACTTTGTAAAAGTAAAAACGTTTCCAAAGAATATGAACATTATTCATTTTAACAGATATTCAGAAATTATCCTGAGAAAAGACATTACATTCCCTCTCACAGGAGCACTCATTTTAATAGTCAAAATAAACACAACAATGGAAGTCAGTGCCTTTTTAACATCTTAAGTCTAATAATTAAAATGTACTTTTCATAATTAGAAAAATATTGAGAAAATAAATTTATTATTGAAATTTCTCAACAGTAACCATACTTACCATTCCATGTACAATTTAACTACAATATTCCTGAACTCATTAATTTCTTTCGAAAAGATTTTGGGGGAGGTACCAGAAATGGAACTCAGGACCTTGTGCTTGCCAGGCAGGCATGCCACTGAGCTATATCCCTGGGCCCGAAAAAGATTTTGAAAAGGAATTAAAATCAGAAAAAAAAGGTTTCCTTCTTAAAATACTGTTTTATGTATTTTTGTTCTCATTAAATGTACTTTTTAAAATAATTAAGTATATGCATTTTTTAAAAATGAGAAATGTTTATTACTTAGAGAATGAATTAAAAAATCCTGTATTGAACACTCAAGGTTTTCTTAACAAAAAAAAAAAAAAATTCCCCAGGGAACTTAATGAAGAATATCATAGCATGCTTCACACCTTTGCTTTTTCAAACTGATCCTCAAATCTGAAATATTTTTTTTCTATTTCTGAGTTCCTTAGGATCTACCTGATTTAAACAGACTTTCACACTTTTAAAGTACTCACTGAAAAGAATGTCTGGAATTATTCTCCTTTGCTCATATCTAAGGAATATAGTACTTGTTCTTACCTCAGCAGGAAACAGTTAACCAGTAAAATCTAAATATGATCTTGTAGTCTTTATATGCCATTTTAAGTCAGGAGTTTATAACAACCACAGAGAGTTTAGTCAAGGAACACTGTTTTAGATACTATCATTAAGTTACACTGCTCTTAAATGAAGTGTTCTTAACATTAGAAGTTAATGAATTTATTTAACATCTCATGCAAATTTTGAGAAGATAAACACATCTGGATGCTACAACTTGACAGCTGTTAAAATCTGAAGTAATCTGTACTCAATTTTCATTTGCCTAGAACCTCTTATAGAACAAATGCTGGACAGTACTGTCATTTCAACTAAATTTGGTCAATAATATTTCTGATATATATGCTGAACAGCATATGAGGCTTTAAAGAAATGATATAACTAGAGAAACAGTGACACATTAGAAGAGGTGACTTTTGACCTGGTTCTTGAAGCATGAATATATTAATCATAAACTGAAAAGAAGCAGGATAGACAAGGACATTAAAGACAGAGCAAACAGCACATACAAATGTCCAATGTCATGAAGGACTTGAAGTATTTGAGAAACAATGTAGGGTATGGTTACTTATTTTCTTAAGTTAATAAATGTGCTGGAATTATATGAAAAATAAACATTATTATGCCACAGCCCATATGACCACTTCGATTTCCAAACATTGTGTGCTGTTAAAATACAACTATCTAGGTAAGTAACACTCACAAACATACTTACTTATAATAGTGCTCCCAGAGATTTCTGTATCTCCCTTGACCTGACATGTCAAACACTGTGAAAGACAAACTGGAGGGAAAAAAGGGAAGGCAAAGCATAATCATCACTTAATACTTTAAATTGTTTTCAATCAAGGGGCTGGGGATTTAGCTCAGCGGCACAGCACCTGCCTGGCAAGAGCAAGGTCGTAAGTTCCATTCCCAGTACCGGAGGGTGGAGATAAATTGCTTTCAATCAAATCACCATTGCTGTACATTTTTTCAGGTAAAAGTTCTTCCCAAATGAACTTGGTAGTATAAATATGATTTTACAATAAATAATATATTAAAAAAATATGTTTTCTTTGCACATGAGGCTATCAGAGTATGTTAAGTTCTAAAAAATAAAGTAGAGGTAGTGGTACAAAAATGTTACTTCTAGTAACAGTAGAAGGCATGACCAGGTAGATCTAATATTGCTTTTTAGCCACACCTTCTCAGTCACAGGGGTAATGCAGATTACCTGGATGACTTGAACTTCTCTACGCTGAATCCTATAGTTGGAACTATATCTTGAGACTGAGCCTTCAAGAGAAAAGACAAAGTTTAGAAATTTTGCAATTACCAAAGATAAACTTTTCCTCAGGTTAAAAAAAAAATGTCTGGATTTTACATTTCTAAAATATGCTACTGATAGAGTTAAACAAAATTAAAATCTTTTGCAATAGGATCACTGTAAGTTCTTTTTAGAAGTCTGAAGTTTACTAATTATGAATCTTTATAATATGTAAATCTTAATTTACATTGTGTTATGTTAAGCAGTAAAGAACAACTTAAAAGTTTTTACCCTGAGTCTGTATATATAACTTTCTGGGGTTTTTGGTTTTGTGATGCTAAGACTGAGCCCATGTAAGACAAGCACTCTAACCCTGAGCTAAGCCAACCATCCCACATGTAGGACTTTCATATCTTCAACAAGTAGTTACTAAGTTTATTCATGTTTGGAGCTGCCCTTATGTCTATATGGTTCCTGCTCCCTAGGAATTTATTACCTAGAGGAGATAAAAAACAGTCAGCAACTTAACAACAAATGAACACAACTTGGAGCAGTGGTAAATACAAAGAAATGGTGACTACAGCGGGACAGAACAGAATTGGTATGGTGGCCTGGGAGAAGGGTGCTTAGGAAAAGCTGATCAGATAAGATGACCACACCCAGGGATGTATGGTAGGAAAGGGAAAAGCTGTAACAAGTTCTTGGCAAAGTACATTCTGGTCAGAGGAAGCAGCCAGTGCAATGACCCTCTGCCAGGAAGGAACTTGCTTACCAGGAAAGGTAAGCCTGTGTATCTACAGAGTATTGATAATTAAAAGAGCAGTATATGTTGAGGTAAGAAAGGTAGTAGCTTGAATTTCTAGTAGGAAGTTCTGCTTGGAGAATAACGAAAGGCAGCAAGAGTGTAAGAAGATACCTATTGACAAGTCTAAGGGGCAAATAAAATACATGAAACTGACAACCTAACTAAGCAAATACCTCCTAGCACTTTCATCATCAAAACTGTCCATGCATTTGAACAAAAACCTATCTAATTTCTGATTCAGATGCTCAGAAGTTATTTTTGATTCTTCCCCTTTCCCCTACTCCTCTTATAATCATTCTCTAAGCTTACTGGTTCTGTTTCAGTAACTTAGTTTTGGCTTCTATCATTTATTGCTGAACATCACATTAGCTTCCTAATTGCTCCTAATTGGCTATATTACTTTGGAGTAGTTATTTAAGCCTAGGTTTTATTAAATGTGATATATATTATTAAACAGTGTCTGTAAATAATCAAGTGTTTGTTATTATTATAATCATACTCTCACTGATTTTAGTCAGTGGTATCCCCAATTTTTTCTGAACTGCTACAAATATAACTTTAAAAAAATTCCTTGTTGCTCAGTTCACCTTGTTGCTTATATGTGAGAATGGGAGAAGCAGAGGGGAAATTTTGCCTCACATCACTATGTTCAATCTGGTAGACTACATTTGAGTAACTTAACTTCAAATGGAAGACAGACTGAAAAGACACTGGAGCTTGTTCGTCTTAATATAATGTGTTAGTGAATAGGGTTTCCTTTGAGAGATGCCCTGGTTTTGTCTTCTGAAGTTTGTTTATTCAGCTTTTCCTTCTACCCATCCTATGAGCTGCATTGGGTTTTTTCCAAAAATGTCTTTATTATTTCTTTGAAAAAAATTCCTTTTAACTTGTTGCTCTACTCTTCGGGATAAAATTCATTAACTTTTCTCTCTTCAAAGTTCTAGTGGAAATAATTAGGAAACAGAAACCACAAATTAATCAGAAAGAGAACATATGTGGTTTAGTACTTCCAGATTCATATGAAACTCAATTTCCTCTAAAGTATCCCAAAAGATAGTCTCTAACAATTATTTCCTTTTGTTCTATCTAGGAGCAAATACATTTGTTCATTCTCCAAACTGGACAAGAAATGATACAAGGAAGCAAAGCGTGTAGGAATGAACCATCTGAGACTATCTAGGGATAGACCAAAACAGAAATAAAACAAGATTCTTAAGAGAGACCTTATTTGGTTAGTTTCATTAAGTCTGCAAAAAATTATAATTTGTTGCCATCAATCAACATCCTGATGTAAACTAAAAATAAAAAAATCATCCATCAATATATTCATCTAAGCCAGGCATGGTGATGTATGCCTGTAATCCCTAGCTCTCGGGAAGCTGAGGCAGGAGGATCATTTTTGAGTTCGAGGCCAGCCTAGACTACAAAGTGAGACCCTGTCTCAAAAAAGACTATATATATATATATATATATATATATATATATATTCATCTAAAATATATAATTAAATCTCAAACATAATTCCAGATTATCTGTGATTCAGTACTTAACAAGTGAATATTCTCATCTGCTGAGGAGAATTTAGTAAGTAATGCATATGCAAAGTAATTTCAGATTTCTGGCAAATAGGGGAAATTAGAATTTTAAAAGACAAATAGAGTATATCTCTAAAAAATGATAGCTGAAACTGGATTCCCACGAAGAGTAATCAAGTTAAAATGTCCTCCTCTTCTCTCTAGTCAAGAGTTTAGAAAATACCAGCAATCTCAGTATATTAATAATAAACATTAGGCCAGCTTAATATTAAATACTAGTCTGAGTATAAGAAATAACTAGTTATTTAGAAACTAATCTTATCTATAAAAAATTAGACAAAAAATTCTATAAAATGAGAGGCAGAAGTGTTTTGTATGGCATTTCCTAACAGAGTATTGTAGACTTTTACAGTTAGTATACTTAATTCATTAAAAATCATGTGCTAATGTGGATGAAAGCTCACACTTGATTCTTCATGTGTTTAAAATAGGAAGGAAGCAAATGTTATACATACCTGAGTGACACAGTTCTGGTAGCCTTTACAAAGTCCTACTCAAGTAATTCTCTTTGGTTACCATTGTCACTTTTTTTTTTTTTTAAAGCAAAGCAAAGCAAACTACTCTGCTCTTAGGACCTGGAGGTCAATTATTCTGACACAGGACAGTTACATCAATATTAGCAGTCAGGAAATGATATTGGAAACAAGGAAAGCTCTGCTATGTGAGCTTTCTTTACACAGAGACACCTCTCACTTATGCATCATGTATTGCATGTTCTAACTTTACACATGTCTCAGTCACACAATATTATCTTCAGACACTTACTGGGTAAAACTGTCCTACCTTCTACTACTGACAGGATGAAACTGTCTAACCATAAAGGAAACTAAAAGGAAGGCATGCAACCTAAAGTAAACTCGGCAAATCTGTAAAGATCGTTAGGAAAAAAATAAAAAAAATAACTGGTTTAATAATCAAGAGTTATATACTTATATGCTACATATTATGGTTCACTGATAATTATTATTTTAAAGTACTACAAGAACAGCACTTCATAACATGATTATGAAGCAAAGTAAGTTAGCATATTAACTTTCTCTAGTAGAAAATACATGAAGCACCTAACAAAGATACTTACATTGGAAGGTTTAAGTTTGTTGATGATTGTTGTTTTGCCACTGTTATCTAGCCCAAGGCACAAAACATGAACTTCCTTCTTCCTCAGGCCAAGCAAGCCTGAAAGTCTGTCTAGCAATCCCATAATGTGATTCAAATATTTACAAAGCAGCTACAGAAAGAAAAAGATTACTCAAAGGCATCTTAAATATGGAAAATATTGGTATATGCATAAAAATTCAATAATTTAAAGACACACAATGATACTCTTAAAAACCATGTTGATGTAGCTCTGCACTTAGTATACAGCATAAGCTGATTATAGAAAGAAGACTTAACTGAAATGCAGATTGGCAGCTATTAACCCCTGCTAACATGGAACGATGTCCTTGAAATAACCCCATTTTCCACTTTATTTATAATATTTAAGAAAAAAAATGTGGTCAGCCTCAGCATCATGTGGATTCTGTCAAATGTAGAACTTCCAATCTCTATGAATTAGGCAGCAATCTTTCTGTGAAATTTGAAACAATATTCAGGCAATGAGGTTCATGTAGAATCTGATGCTGAAGATGAGAAAGTAGAAGGCAGACAAAAAGAGAGAAAAACTGAGATTTTAGTTACCTAAATGATCTGAAACCAGATCTGTGTCATACTTTTCTATAATCAAAATTATGAAATAAAACCCCTTTTTTTTGCTTGTGTGGTTACTTCCAGTTTGGGGAGGGTTTTCTGTCAGTAGAAGTAAAAAATTTTGATATATTTTATCCTTATTTCTCCTTATCTTTTACACATATTTTGGTAAATCACTATAAGTTCATTTGGGAATAGATTCACACATGGACAGTTTTATTACTTTATCAGACATCTATTTTCTTAACTGTAACTTAACTGAAACATCTTATTGCTATTTAAAAAAAGGACACTAGTATGGAATCAGAAAATGAATACCAATTTTAGATTATAATTTAGCTTTTCTCAAATACTGTAAAAGTCACTTTGTTAACCTATTCCTATTATTTGCTCGACTGTGTCTATTTCTAGGGGGAAAAAAATCTGAGTTAGTTGTAAGTATTTTGAAGTTAATTAACAATGCTATGTTGTATTTTTATAGCTATTCATATCCATCTATGGTACTATTAAATTTAAATTTCAGGTCTCCAAATCAAACTTTTTAAAGAAGCTTGCCTGGCTCCATTACCTCCCTCCCGCCACATAGTACTACAAGATAGGAAAAGGGAAATAATCCTTTTGCCAACAATCAAGTGGTATAGGCACTGCTAAAATACAACTGTGTACAAATACTTCCCATTACTTTCTAAACCTTCATTTTTAAAGTTCTCTAAATATTAATCTCATTTAATTGATTTATTACCATCTTCATTCAAGGTTCCATAAATTTATCATCTGATACTTCCTTTAGTATTTTTTATTCTATACCATCCCAGGCAAGGCTAGACCTTGAAGGATATAAGGCTAAAGCAACTCAACCTATAGGAAGCTTTCAAGAAAACTACATCTCAAAGGAAGCTGCATAACTGACCATTTGCTAAAGCTCCTTGGGATATCATTGTCGAGACAAGTTTCCAAACTGAATTTCAGTGATAAGTAGAAAAGAAAAAGTACTGTGCCCTAGTGGGTAGGACCTGTAAATACAGCCATCTTACTCTGATGAAGGGAGTAGGCTTGACTTCTGGTAGCTGGACTTGTGCCACAAGAATCAACACTTTCTTCATAATGAAAGTTCAAATCCCACTCAAAACATTTCTTTGAATTTCAGCTGAAGGACTGACTTTAGAGACTATTTTAAATTAACTTTCTGATATGAAATAATTCACACAGATAACTTTAATTCAAAGTAATTTTTATTACTTAATTGATAAAAATGTACACTTCTTGTTTTTCATTCTCCAGAGAATTTTAAATATATTTTAAGAACTGCAACTACATCTCACACCTTCCTCTTCTGGGCACCTACTATAAAGCACTGATTGTTATCAGGCTGGCACTTGGATATTCCCTTTTCATAGTATCTTTTATTTTGACTTTTCATTCTTTTTCTAAGAATTATTAAACACATTATTGAAATATTGTGGGATATACAATTTAAAATAGTTTTTCTAAAGGATGTTACCATATTTATGGAAGCTGCTTTAAAAGGAACTACAATATAACCTTACATACATTTCAATTTTTAGTAATTATAGTTTTTCTTCTATAAATTCTTGCATGCGCCCACTCACATTTATTTATCATGTTCTAACATTAGAATGGGACACAGAAATTTTCTGTAGCTTCCTACCCCCATAGTCATGACTTCCAAACCTAGTTGCATTCTGGAATCAGAATTTCTGAGGACAGGACTAGAGTATTTGTAGGATATTCGTAGTTTAGGGTATTATTATATTATTATATTATTATCAGTTTTAAAACTTATATGGTTTCTGATACGCAGTCACCATTAAGAACTATTAGCTTATACAATAAAGTCCATGCTTTTTTCAACAATAGAAAAGCATTAACACATTCAAGTTTTAACATAGGAACCTTCAGAAATAACCCACTCTGAAATTTCTCTATTTTAATGCACAAAGTTGATGAAAAATGGACGGACTGTACACATTTGACTGGAAAAAAGGGTATGATCTAATGGTAAAACTAAGAAGGGAAACCAACAAAGCCTGTCTGCTGTTTCTCCTTTTTTTTTTTTTTTTTTTTTAAACAGGGTTTTGCGACATAGCCCAGACTGTCCTGCGTTATAGTCGTGGACGACCACACCCGGCTGTTCAGATTCTTCCTAATCTCTTTGTGAGCATCCCTTTTTCTCACCTATGGAGCAGGACCTCTCTGAATGAGAATCTTTAAGGGAGCAAGGAGAAGCAGAGCCACTTTCCTAGAGTTTATGTCTGCTTTAGGAGCAATGGTTCTCATTTCTATAACTTACCTACCTTGGGAAAGAGGAATTGAGATTTCTATCACTCTCTCCAGGGGAGAGAAACAGCAGGAGACATGAGGGCAGATGATCAGTGTTTGTTTTAGAGGCCCTTATAGTGCCTTCAATTCCAGATACTCAACAGGCCAACATGCTACACTGAGCCCCAACACTATCTTGGTTATATCTATATTTCCAGAGTATCTCACACAGAGTATATATTTAATAAATATTTGTAATACACACTCAAACAGAAAAATTCCGTGCATTTCACTCTGAAAACTGATCCTTTAATAAATATGCTCGATTATCAAATGTAAACACCTTTCTTTATATCTTTTCTTAGAAATATATTTCAAGAGGTTGAATTATTGGGTCAAACAGTAACATTTAAAATTTTGATAGATACTGTGGCATTTTCTTTCAGAAATGTCTATGAACACTTACCAACAGCAAGTACAACTTTCAATTCTTCTGTTTTCTTACCAAAACTGGGTATGGTTAAATTTTCTCAATATTTGCTAACTGAAAAGAAAAACATGGCATGTAGTATTACTTAAATTTGCATTTATTTCATTACTATAATGTTAAAACATTTCAGACTTCAATTCCATCAACATTTCTTCTATTATGAATTATTTGCTATATTCCAGTGACTATTTTCCTATTGGTTTCCTTTCACTACTGATATCTGAGAGACATTTCCATGGCATAATTTTGGTCAATTAAAATTATATTTCACTCATTTAGTTTTGGGCTATACAGAAGTTTTAATTTTTATCTAATGATATTTACAAAATTTATTTCAGTTTCTTTCTTCAGTGTTAGACTTGAAACAAAGTTTTCCTTTTCAGCACTTTAAACATATTAGCCAGTATTTTGTTTCCTATCTTTTGAAAGTTTTAGTTTTTATACCTTATGTTTTATTTGCCTGACATTTATAGGGTAAGTCTTTTTTCCCCCTGGTGTCACTTTTCTTTCTGCCATTCTCTTTAGTATTTTTCTCAACTTTTTAAAAACATTCTATATTCCTGTACATGTTTGGGTCCATTAGTAAATTCTCTATCACAGGGTATCCCTAATATAGTCTTTAGAAGATGATTCTAGGAATTATCCTCAGGATTTCAAGGCCATGTAAGTTTGGGAAATTTGGGATTCTATAACTTTCAACAGGTTTCTATAGATCAACACTCCTCATACTCTTTAATATGCTAAAACGCATTGCAAATCTATAGGAGATGCAGTAAGGTAGTAGTATGTTTAGATGAATATTTACCTAAGGAAACTTTTCTGGGAAGTTAGCTGCATATAATTTGAGAATATACTCTTTTATATACTCTTTTATTGATCTGTTTATGCCTAGATCAGCACTACAATGTTTTAATTCATGTATCATTATAATGGTATTTTATCATGTGAAAATGCAATGTCCTCTCTTTAGTGTATTTTTTCAAAATATGAATGATTTTTTAAAGAGTATGGACACTTTTAAAAAATATTTTACTTAGTTTTCAAAAACAAAACAGTTTAGAAAACTGTACAATTATTATTTATAAATAAATTACTATTTAAAACTACGGGAAAATATGACATGAAAATTTTTGTATTTCTAGAGAAATACAAGGAGAGAGCTTGCCTGCTATTTTTTTTCTTTCTTTTCTTTCCATTTCTTTCATATTAAATTTAGAGAAAGTAAGATCTTGGACAAGGATAAGGTTTTCCAAAGGCCAACTATGAATGCTCTGAGATTAGTCCAGATAATTTGCATTAAAAATAAAACACCCTTGAGGTTGACAGAAATCAGCAAATCAATAAGAAATGAGAACACTGGATAATTTGATAATCACAATCTTGAGCACTGAGGGAATTAGCGCGAGTCAGAGTTGAGTAACAAACAGTTAATAAACGCAGCATGTTACACACTTTACTTAGCAAATTTTGATGCTCTAAGTTGTTTTACCTCAAAACAGTAGTAAATTTAAATTTTTAAAAGAAAAATTATAATCTTGGTTTGGGAAAAAGGTACAAAGTTGATATTGAGATTAGACAGCATAAACTAGTAAGAGAACCACTACTGAATGCCTCAGGAACAAAATATGCCTTCAGTTTAAAATCTTCCTTTCTGTATTGCATGTTATTGGCAGAATTCTTACTATTTACCTGAGATAAATTACCTATAATCCATAATTCCTGTTCTTGAATCAAGATTACTCTGGTTTGAGCATTAACCCTGCTACTAGCTGTGTGTCTCTGTGAGTTGGCTGTGGTCTTCAATGATCTCTAAAGACAGTGGTCGTGCATAGCTATTAAATTGTTCACAGTCTTGACTCAACCTACCTTTTTAGTTGCTTATTTATACACCAGCCAAATTTTTCCGCCTGTTGTCTGAGAATCACCTGCCTACATGTTGTCAGAAAAGTTAGGATACCACCTGGAGCTACAAGCTACAAAGGTACACTGCACACAGAGATCGGAATAGAAAGCACACCCGTTATGGATACTTTGTAAACTTCACACATGTTTGTCGAGTGAAGGGATGCACACTCTTTCTACCCCACGTAAACATTATTCAGCTTTCAGTTTCTGACAATGAAATTTCAATTTCTACACTTTCCATACTTCCCATTAAAAGGCCCAATTGGGTAATGTTAACATCAACCAACTAATCACAACGGGTCCCTAGTATTCAACACATAACTTACTCTTTTTTTTCCACCTTTCACACATTAGAAACAACAGGTCGCGTGGAGCTCAAAACCCGGAGAGGTGACCGCTGGCTCTAAAACTTGAGAAAAGAGGGTCATATCCGAACTGTGAGGCTGGTCCGGGCCTGGGAGTGGGCTCGAAACCGGAATGGATTCCCTCTTACCCGCCTGTGGGATGGGAATGTGGCGCCTCAGCCTTCTTCTCTACGCCTCCATTGGAAAGACTACTCGTCCAAAACAGGGGCGCCTCTACAAGCGACGGGAACCGGCAGCTTCTGCCTCAGCTGGAGCATCAGTTGCGGAGCAGGCACCCTGGCGCGCGGTTTCCTTGGTAACAAGAGCTTCTTCCGGTCCAGAGGCCACGCCTCTTCGGGAATCTTAGCGATTCAGCCGTGGTGCTTTTCCTTCTAGGGTTGGAAGGCGCTGGAAAAAAACCCATGGACACTTCAAGAAACTCTGTTAATAGAAATGTGAGCACAGGGGACATGACGAGTTGTCGATTGGCCGGCGAGGATCTGCGAGGTCGCTCGTGAAGCATGATGGGAGCTGTAGGCGCTCGCTCGCACAGCCTGCTGGGTAGCGCCCGCGCCCGGCCTCGCTGGGGGAAGGTCACCCTCCGCTGATCGTCCGGCGTTCCTCGGCCTGCTGGAGCCGCGCATTGCTTGCGGAGCTGGGAATGCCGAGTCCCAGCGCAGTTGCCGGCACCCGCGGCGCGGCGTGCTGACAGCGGCTGCGGGACGCCGTGGTGCGCGCCGGGGCGGGAAGGGTGTTGCAGCTGCCCCGCCTCGCGTTACACCACCTCCCGGGCTCTGAGGGGCGTCCGCCGGCGTCCTCTGACGGAGGCGCCCAGGGGCGAGAGACTGGTCTAGGAAGTTGTACAATTACTATTTGTCGGTAATTTCTTTTTAAACCAAGAGAAATAAGTAAAAGGCAAAAACATTATTTAGCAAAAGGAGTGTGCCTGTACCCTTGTTCTCCGCTGTTTGAGCTCCCTGAGAGTTTCCCCTCGCGTAATCTCTTGTGATTGATTACTATCCCCAGAATCAAGTCGATGGCTGGTCGGAGTGGGCATCAACAGTCAGTAAAGTTAGCCATGTTCTGAAGTTACACTCGGACTTTGGAGCAGTTGTTGCAAATGATCCTCAAATTGAAAATATTTAGCCATGAACCTTCCTCTACTTTTTTTTTGTTCCAACACACTGTAAATGCAATAATTTTAATGATCTGGCATTTTTTTGTCAGCGTTTTTATTTTTTTTATTTTTTTTATTTTTATTTTTATTTTTTTTTGTTTTTTTCCGGTGCCAGGAACCGAACTCAGGACCTTGCGCTTGCCAGGCAGGCGCTTTGCCGCTGAGCTAAATCCCCAGCCCCTGTCAGCGTTTTTATTTGTCCAGACGCATCAGCTTTACCTCTCAAAGAACTGTTTCCGTGTTTTTAAACATTCCTGAAAGAAGTTTCATTTCTTTTGCTACCTATGAGTATGGAATTTTATTTTTCCTCTCCAACTAGGTAGTTTTATGTTTACTTCCCTAACTGTTCTTTGACCCATTAATTAATTTTGGTTTATTAAATAGATGAAGAGAAAAAAAGAAACTGGAGGGATTTTTGTCCAAGTGATGATGGGAAGGTATGAGGGTTGTACCTGCATGATTCTGAGGTGTTTTGTTTCATTACCAAATTTCCAAGTGTAGCTATTTTACAGTGAAAAAAAGGTGTGTTTCTGGGCTGTAACTGTTTCAAAGCAAAAAGAAAATAAACTTCGGCTGTTGTTGCATATCCAAATGATTGGCATTTAAATATCTTCTATAAATGGGGAATGGAAATATTCTGTTCTGTACTGTGTGGTCTTTAAACCCTATCTATGCTTTGTCGTCCTCACCTTCAGAAAGATACTATTTCATCTAGTGATTTTAAGAGAGAAGCAGAGATCTAACCTTCCAGAAAACTTTCTTGGACAGACTTAGTTTTTTTTATTTCCTATATTTTCTCCCCAGGTTGAGTTCATTTACTTTAACCTAGTACAAAACAGTTGCTGGAAACGGAGGTATAGGTAGATTGAGCGTCCAATTTAGGCATATAGATAATTCTTTGACAACAACAAGCTAAGCAAATATTTTATGTAAGTGTGATGACATTATTGTGATGTCATTATTGATGTGATGACATTATTATTAGAGACGAAATAGTTGTCATGAAACCCACGATCTACTCAATAATGTAGAAAATACCAGTCTTGAAAATATCAACCAGAAAAAGTAAATATTTCGATCCACTGTTTTGGTGCTTTGGGATCAGCATAAAATACTTCCACTTGGTGTAAGAATTGTTTCATTTCATTTTATTATGAGAATAATAAGCTTTCGAAATGGTATGTGATTTTTCTTAAAGCTACTTAAGATATATATGTAAGAGAAGAGAATTCTAAGTACTTTCTCACTAGTTTTAATTTCATACTGGCTTTTGGAGCTGTAGTAGGAAAGAGTGACATACATTGACTGCTTTACCATTCTGATTAATTCAAGATTTCTTAATGTATTTTGTTATTGGCAACTTCTAAAAGAATATAAAAAATTTCCAATTTATAATTTATTGAAAGTTTTAAAATGAGTGCTGATGCTTGTGTTGGAAGAGCTGAATATTTGGTGTCACGTCTTTTTATCATGTGTAAAATTTGTGTATAGTATTGTTTCTACTCTGAACAGTTTAATTCATTTGAATCTTACAAAGTGTTTTGCTAGTACAAAATCACTACAAAAATTGGTACCATTTATTTATAGTGATTTACATGAACTTATGTCTAGCTCTTAATGTCATTAGTTATTTGAAAAATTACAGCTATGATTTTATATCCAGAATTACTAAAGTTCTAAAAAAGATTTAAATTTAATAGACTAAACATAAACTGCATTAAATATCAATACAAGAGTCAGACTCAACCACCAGAACTGTAACTTTTATTTACTAATAGATATTTTAATAAACAGGCTTACTCCATCTGTAAGACCCTGATAATGCCTCTTAGGAAATCATAGAAAAATAAAATACAATAATTAGTAATTTGTACTTTGTACAAAAATCTTATTATGTTGCTCAGCAGGTAGTTTTGCTAAACACCATATTCTTTCAGCAAATAGATGACATATGTAATGCAATTCACCACAATCTCTCCTGTTGAGAGCTGAGCATTCTGTAACACTATTAAGTTATAAGCATGCCAGCAATGAAAATTTACATGGAACTTATTAATATTATAGTAGATTTTTTTATAAGATGAAAAAAACACTACTTTCTATAAATCTGGACTTCACTGCTAAGAGTAAAGTAGATAATAGGTAGGATTCTAGTTCAAGGAACACCCTTTTACTATGTTAATCTCTCTACCATATTGTGATTAAAACCAGAAAAGAGAACACAGGCTATGTAAGGAACCTAAGTGGAAAGTATGTACTGAAGCTCTAAATGGTGATTTATCAAATTAAAAAAAAGGTGGGGCTGTACTTCTTTTTCTCACAGGTGTTTCCCCCTCTTTTGTAAGCGTAGTTGAATATACTGCCAGATCCTTAATTAATGATGAATAGGTTCATGTCAAATTACAAAGACATAACTTGAAAAATAATGTAGAAAGGAAAAATATTTTTAGCTACAGTTTTTATTAAATATAGCTCTGAGGGATTAAATTTCTCTACCTTTGCAAATTTTATCCACACATTTTATAGAAATATACTATTATTTAGTATTAAATTAAACTTTTTATAACTTATTTTGTGTGCACTGCAACTGTTGAAATTATCTAAAATTCAAAATGGCCATTTAAAATTTGATATGGCCATTTAAGTATATGATGTTTAATTAAATACACACATATAATAATCTTTATATTTTTTGGCTGTGATAGAAGAGAAAAATAATGGAGAATAAACTTATTCCATAATTCACAATCTAATTTCACATCAAGTCCAAAGAATAAATGTATATTTTAAAATTCCTGCATATTGAATTTCATACAACATATCCAGAAAGAACTCAGTAAGCTATTAGTGTAGACAAGGGCATGATGAACAAAACAATCATCTTTCCCATGTGCTTCTCCTAAATGACAAATGACAGGAGGTTTTGACATTTTCCATACAGAAAAAAATTTTTACTAAAAGATTAGTGCCTTTTTGTCTTTTTTAAAAATTCAGATGGGAGCTCATTACCCTGTAATAATATTTGAGACAGGTTGAATATACATTTCTCAGGATTCAAATAATTTATTATTCATAGGTTTTGAATCATAGCGGAATAGCCATAATGGTTCTGCCATTTACTCTGTAGTAAAGACAAATAAATAATAAAATATAAGAAAAACATATGGCATTGAGAGGTCCTTACTTTGTCTTTATCTTATGGAAAAGAGGACTCTTGTCAGAGTCCTTGGACAGCAAAATTTCAGGTCTTTCAATAAGAGGCTTAAAAATATTTAATAAAAAGATGTCTTTGAAATACAGTTTTTTCCCTGTTTTTATACACACATGAATATCCATTATATATTATATGTATGTGTATATATATATATATATATACATATATACATACATTCATATATATATGTAGTCACTTTCCCACCCTCCAACTACGTATGTATCTTTCCCATTCTCCATTCCCACTCCTATACTGACTTTTCTTGGTAAAATTAAACTACTCACATAATAACATCTTTAGTTTTCTACAATGAATCTATGAATTTATCTGCTTATTAGATACTCTGCCTTCCCTCTCTTTGGAGTCCTGTGAACCTGCTGTTATCAAAAACTGCTTTCCCTACATAGGCTCTAAAGCTTAATCCTTCTACTTCTTCAGACCTTTCCTCCAAGTATTTTTCTCATGTGTAATCATTTTTTTGCCAGATCTGTACATTAATCTATAAATAGCTTTATCATCCTCTATTCTAAACAAATGAACACATTAATGATAAAACGCCACAAAGTTTTCTTGACTACATCTTCAGCTCCTTGCCAAAGGAGTGGTCTTGCCAAATCTTGCCAAATTCAGTGGTCATTTTTTTTTGTTCTAATATTAAATTCTTGAAAGCACTTAATCCAGTTAACTACTCCAATAGCCTCATATAATCTGACCCCATTCCTTTTTTCTGGCTCTATCGCCTCATGAATGTATACCACTGCTCCACCTGCTCTCAACACTCCGAACTCCTGAACATTAACTACTCTTTCTGTCCAGAAGGCTCTTACTCAACATTTTCTCATGGCCATTTCCTTCATGTTTTTAAGATACCAGTTTAAATATTATGTCTTCAGAGATTGCCCTTCACACTTGGTATGAAAGAGTCATAGTCATGCTATGTAACATTATGGGTTTAATCAGTACAACAGATCACTATATTTTGTGTGTCTTTACTCCTAGAAAGACATCTGTGAAAGAGGAACATTGCTTGCCTTGATCACCATGTACCCTCAGTGTTTCAAAGAGGGCACTAATGTGTATGTGGTAGTGTTCGATAAACATTAGTTGGATGAATGAATGAACTTACAGATGTTAAATTAAATTAAGATACCAATAAATATACTTATTTTAAAATTTAGGAATTATAATTTTAGGCCAGTAAACAACATCTTTTGTGGTTATTGTATTTGTTACACAGTATAAAGAGGTTAACATGGATGCTTGGTCAGATAATAATTTTTGTTGGTTATATTAAGTTATACTTAACTATTGCATTTAATGTAGAAAGGTCAAAGTTGTAATGAAGGGAAAGGAAATATTTTCCTTTCTCCAAGGAATTTTAGACGTGTAGAAAATAAGCAATTTACATAAAGATGGAATGGTTTCCTACTGTTGTTTGAAGCATCCCATTTGGTGAAATTATAAACATTGAATAAACAGAAAGCAATAAACTAAAGATATACACTTAGTATTTTGAATTTGCAGGGTGCATTGGAGATTTTTTAAAATGTTTCCATTCATAAAAAGTAAAAGTTTGCTTTTTCCAGCAGACTTTATAGGCTGTCAGACTAGTGCTAGTTAAAAGAACAATAACTTCAAAAAGAATAGCTTCCAGCCACTCTATTATGGCATTCAAATTCTTTGGGAATCAGCAAATTACAAGCATTATGAGATTGGATAGAAATATAAAATATGAAGAGGATCTTTATCTAATATTTAAAACAACTAGAAAAAGAAGGCAATCTCTTTGAAAGAATATAAGCAAAAGGTAT